GTTTGTATTTTTTACATTGTTGCCATTAGACGTCGATAATCGGCTTTTCTTGCAAAATGTATTATTCAAAAAATTTTTAATTTGTAAAAGTTCTCGCACAATTGGATTAATTTACAGTCTTCGCTAATGTGCTACAGTAGGTGGCAAAGCGGATTTTCGAGGTTCAGGCCAGCTTTGGCTATTTTTTAAGGTTAAGGGGGTATTGATGGCAGGAAGGGAGTTGTAGGAGCGACGAGAGCGGCGGGAGTACTTAAACCAAAAATATTTACTGGTACGGAGAGGGGATAGTAAAACAATCTGTTTTAAAGACAAGGTGAAAGGGAGTGGGTAGAGCAGGGTAGGGGTTAAAGATGGACAGGGGGGGGAGAACCCCCACCCCCAAAAAAATTTTGAAAAAAGTTGAACGTGGTACCCTTGTGAATTTTTGGAAAAAATTTTTGACCTCTGCCGATTTTTTCGGCCTCCGCCCCCAGACCAACAGTCCCCGCTCGGCCCTGATAGTAGCTTCCTAGTAATTCTCTTAACACTGCGTTTAACGTTAGACTAATAAAGTTTTATTAAGTTGTTCAGATAGTTTTGAGCCCCACAACCTCAAAAAGTTGTTTTGAGAGGAGGCACTGAATTATTTGAACAAACTAAAAAAACGTTCTTTTTTAATTTTTTGTACGATAAACTAATTTTTCATCTAATCACAACCCCCCTCCCCTCCTTCCCCCCCCCCTCCCCCTCCCCCTTCAAACATCACATTTTCTATTCCGATGGTTGGCCAAAGTAAAAAAAACAAGCAAATCCTACATTCTTTTATCTTATAGTCCCATCTATCATTTAAGCTAATAGTCCCCATCCATCCCTTAATCTAACAGCCCTCTAACCTTTCTACCCTTTCCTATCATAGATCAGCACTCGCTTCCCAATACCTCTGCCCTTTATGTAATGCGGAACTGTGGCAATAATCACGATTCCGTGCCCAACACAAAGTCGACCGCGCATTCCGAAGGCGGCTTTCGGTTCAGCGAGGAATTCGTTTAATTATACAGAGTGGCTAAAGCGATTCGCCTTAACAACAATTCCAAAATATTGTAAATGTCGACGAAATTGACGTAGCTGAGGTATAAGTACAGGGAATGGTTGGGGGTTTGTGGTGTGGCAAAGCTTTGTTTTTTTTGACGGTACGGTACAAAAAAAGTCTTCTTGATTCCAATTTGAAAAAATTTTTTATTTTTTTTTCAATTTTCAAAAAATTTTTTAGGTACATTTAACACTTACATTCCTGTAAAACGTTTCTTTTTCGAATTGGCTCTTCTAGGTGAGAGGGTAGGACTATAGATAGGTGCATCTGTCTTTATATATTTCTCTGCGCCCTAGCTACGTTCCCGCTTTAGAACGGTTGGAACGTCAATTGTGACCATGAGCAAGTAAAAAATTTTTATTTTTAGGTGTGGCTTGTTAATTTTTTCAAAAAAAGTTTTTTTTAGTTTAACAGGGCGGACCACATTCAATTTTTTCAAAATTTTTTTTATTATTTTGCAAAAATTTCTAAAGTTTTAAAATTTTTTGACCTACTTTAATCTGAAAAAATACGTCAAAATTAAGTTTTTTTTCTTTCATTTTTAAGTATGAATTGTAAGTTTTTTCAAAAAAAAATTTACTTTAACAGGGAGGACCATGTTCAACATTTTTTCATAAAAAAAAGTTAAAAAATCTTAAATTTCAAATTTTTGTGAAATTACTACATAAAACAAGACCCATTCCTCCACCCTGACCTTCTTAAAAGTTCACCGCCATTCTTTTTTACCGTAGTCAAAGCGCTTTCTTTTCAAACTCGCTTTGCTTATACCTTCTTCTTCGCGCAACGACCTCCCTCACCTCCAATTACTTCGGGGCATTGTAACGGAAGTATACGATGTGAACCCAACACGATTTGTTAACATATCATTACATCGGGAGTGTTATAAACGGCTTTGAGGGATCAAAAGGTCGCCAGATCGGTTGACAAAGCGATTGATTTATGCTTATTGAATAATTTGATTAGTGTTTTAATGTAGCTGGCTTGAATGTGGTTTTGTTTGGATGTAAGTTAGTTTTTTGTGTTAAGTTGTAGTATGAAGAGTAGTATTGATAAAAACAAGATGATGATGTTTGGGTAACGTTTGGTGAGTTCAACATTGGTTTTTAACTAAGAATAGTGGCCTGATAATAGCAAGACGAGGTAATCGTATTTTAAGAATGAATGTGAAGGATAGGGTAGAATAAAGTAGGACGAAAAATTAAACTTGGTGCTTCAACTGATTGAAAACGATTTAAAAAATGAGTTTTTGAATGTTTTTAAACTTTAATTTTAAAATTTTTACTGTACTGTTAACAATAGCTGCAGCCTTAAACTTAGTTTTACATGTAGTCCAAGATTTAGCACTAACTTTAACCCTAGCTCTATCCCTAGCTTTAAATCTAGCTTTAACCCTAGCTTTAGCTTTTTCTTTAGCTTTAGCCATAGCTTTAGCCCTAGCTTTAGCCCTAGCTTCAGCCCTAGCTTTAGCCCTAGCTTCAGCCCTAGCTTTAGTTTTAGCTAGCCTTAGTCTTAGTCTTAGTTTCAATTTTACCTTTAGCTCTAACTTAAGCTTTTTTCCTAATTTCAGCTTCAATCCAACCCACTTAATTTTTTTCCAAACCGTTCTTCTTATTTACATCTAAAAACAACCTCAGAACTACATAAAATATCTCCAACTCACCTGTAGTACAACTTTTTTGAGAGTCAAGTGCACATAGCTAGTACAGTATGATTGTCACGCTCTCTATACATTATGTTTAACAGTTAATTGAGTACATTTCCGTATACTCTATATGTATTTTTATTTGTATATACAGCAATTTTTCTTCTACTTTTTGTAGTTCCCGTTTCTTCACGCCTGTTTGTACAAAGATGGCATTGTATTGTTTGTTAAACTTTGCTTGCAGCTTTGAAGAATGTGAACTTTGCATTAGTTGCGTACTGTAATTTTTTGTTTTTTTTAGTTTTTGGGCTTGTTTTTGAATTACAGAGGGTTTTTTTATTTTTTATGCTTCATAAGTACAGTAGGACTCTGGTATAGCGAATGGCTGAGGGGGCTTTAGAAGAAGTGTTTGTTATAAAGGAGTTCTACTGTATAAGCCTGATTTTGTTTGTTTTTATTTACGAGGTTGTTCAATTAATTATTTGCTCCTTTAAAAATAAATTTTTGGAGTTAGGGGCTCAGAATTACATGAACACCAAAATACCATAAACTTAAAAAATAAACTAAAACTCCATTACAACGAACAACTTTTCGAGCGATTTGTTATACAAAAGGTCAACTGTGATTTTGCCTTTTTAATCTTACTTTTTGACATTTCTATTTTACATTCTGTAACAAACATGATTTGTGGTAGTCGAACACCTTTTACTGTGGCAATCTCCGTAATAGCTTCCTTAAATTGTTAAAAATCTGCTTTACTTCCTCATGACTTTAGTTTGATTATTTGAACCACTTTAACTTTTATGGCCCTTATTTCCTTGTTATCTCTTGTTTTCTTTATCGTTTATCTTCTCCCTTTTCTGCTTATATCTTCTTATCTTTTGACGTCTAGTTACTATTGTTTAGAGCTTGTATATCGGCTTAATTCTTGTTGTATCTTATGTTCAATGCTTGTAGTATTGTGTATAGAAATGTAATATCTTCTCTCTTCTCTATAATATCATTTCTCTTTCTTAAAGTATCTCTTCTCTTTGTTATAGTATCTTCTCTCAACTTCTTGTAGTAACTTCACTTTATTCTCTCTACCTTCCTCTCTTCGTTTCCAATAGTACCTACACTTTCTTCTTCATAACATTCCTTCCCTGTACTTTGTAGTATATCCTCTTTCATCCTCACAACATGCCTTCCCTATACCTTGTAGTATCTCGCCTTTCCTCCTCATAGCACGCCTTCTCTCTACCTCACAGTACCTCCTTTCTCTACCTCACAGTACTTCCTTTCTCTACCTCACAGTAACTCCTCTCTCTTCCTCAAAACACCTTCCTCCTCCCCTGTAATCCCACCAGTTCCGTCTCCATCCCCAATTTCCTCTAATTCGGCGGAATAAAGCTGATACCGAATACGGGATGAATTATACGATCGGTTACAGTCGGCGGCTTTCAACCCCACGCTCCGCCTCCCTCTTCGCCTTGATTTGTGTGTTCCAATCAGCGTTCGAAGGGTGGAACCGGTCGCGAATTATGGCTAGCTAAAGGCCCTCCTCCTGTCATTCCCAAAGAAGTGTTACTCACTTTACAATAACATTGTAAACCGGGGGTGTAAATAAACCGTGGAGTCCAGGACCGTATTTGGCTGTAAATTTTAATTTATTTGATTTATTAAGTGCCAAGTGGATGATGAGTTTATGTTGGTTTATATTAATGACATTTTTTTGAGATTGGGCTATTATTTTTTTATTTTTATAGTTGAATTAGCTACTTTTTAAAAATTTTTAGAAAAAATATTTTTTATTCCATTTCTTATTTTAATTTTGCAACTTCTATACTTTCACACCTTCATTGTAACCTAAAACTAGGCTTATGGCTTTTGCACGGTGCAATAAAGTAGAATTGAAAATATTGCACGGTGCAAAATATTCTAGAACTGTTATTATAATGAAGAAGACTTTTTCCAAAGTCATATTATAATTTCTTTTTGAATTTAATTTTTCTTTCTAATTTTTAAGATTATTTTTAAAACTTTTGAACTGACTGCACCGTGCAAAAACTAAAATTTATAACATTGCACCGTGCAAATCCAACTTTTTCAATAAGACTTTTCAAAACAGACTTTTTGAGAAAAATTTTAAAGTTTTACTTTTCTTATAGCTTTATACTGTTATTGTCTTATCAAAAACTCTATTTTCCAAGTTTTTTGAAGGGCGCAGATCACTGTCAGATTTAAAAAAAAATTCAAAAAAAATTTATTTATTTATTGTTTTACGTTCTAGGACTACTTTACCATGCTTTTATGCTTTTGAAGGTTTGTTTTGTATTTTTAAATATATTTTTGGCCATATTTTAATAGAATTTGACCATTATATTAACTTTGACATCTATTTTTATCCAAAAAACGCGAAAAATCTAGGATTTTCTGTGGTTTTCTACCATTTTCGATTAAATTTACTATCATAAAATAATTTTCATTAGTATATTATGTTATTCTCGTATTATCCTAATGTTTATCTATGAAAAAATTTTGTTTTCAACCTAATCAGCTCAAGTTTTTAATCTAAAATTGGCCAAAACTGTTTTGTAAACCGAGTTTGGGCCCTTTTTCATCCCTAAAATAATATAATTTTGGCCGTAATCTCTCCAAGCTCAAAAATAATTAGCTAAAGTTGATGTGGAATCATAACACTAGTCTTGGTAATACTGTGAATTGAAGGTGATGTCATGTAGCGGCAGTTTTTTGGTTTATATTGAGGGTTTAGTCTAATTTTTGGTCGGAAATTTGTTTTTTTTCCAAAATTTATTTGTTTTGCAATCTTTTTTGTCTATATTTTGTTATTTATAAGGTCATTTACAATCTTTGATGTTATGTGAAGGTTTAAGAAGCAATTTCTGAAGTTTTTGTGAAGTTACGTTAAGATTGAATAGATTTATATTGTGTTATGTTAAGGTGAAGATTTCTTGCGTTTTTTGATGTTTTAGGTAATAAATTGTGTAAATGTTGATGAAAAACAGGTTTTTGTTTTAGTGATTATGTAAAATTTCTTGTTTTAGGAAGCAATCTACAAAATTTTGAGTTTTCTTCAAATTTTAGATAACATATTTTAAAATTTGAATTTTCTTTAAATAATGCTAATCTTTTTGAAGAACTTTGATATTATAGGTTTAAAAATTTTGAATTGTAAATTTTCTGTAATTTTCGGGTGGAAAATTTTAAAAAATTCAGTTTAATATTTTTGTTACCTAAATTTTAAAATAATCAATGTTTGCTGCTTTGAAGCCTTAAATGTCTTATTGATACTATATTTAACCCATAAATCTTCTTCTAGTACCAAATATCTTGATTTAAAAAAAATTGTTACCTAAAATTTAAACTTCAATAAATAGTTTTACTCTACTTTAACATAAATTACTTTGGCTTGCTGTACCTTATTATGTTTATTTTATTTCAATCTTAACTTTTCAAATTCTAGATGACCGCAGGCCAAAACCCGCCCAACATTGCGTACAATTACCTGAATTCGTTTGACTCGCCCAGCGCTCCTCACTTCAATGGGATGCCAGAGTTCTTCAACCAGTCGATGTTCAACCCGATGGACTACTATAGTCAGCAGATGGGGCAGAACATAGTCAATCAGACTGGACCTTCATCTCCTGGAGACATTAAGCCATTTAGAGATGAGATCTCGTCCTCGCCTGAGGCCAACTTTGTCACGAATACTAGTAGTCCATTCGAGCCCTATAATAATATCGTTTCGACGGCTTCGGCGTTGAATTTTGGAGCTGGTGGAGCGATGGGGACGGCGATGAATCCGATGGGGAGGATGATACAGAGTGGACTGCAGAGCGGCTTCTTTCCGACGGTAAGTTTAGGGTTTTAAGGGAAAATGGCAAGAACTTTCTTGACAAGTTGAAAAATGGCAAGAACTTTCTTTACAAGTTGAAAAATGGCAAGAACTTTCTTTACAAGTTGAAAATTGGCAAAAACTTTCTTTATAAAACAAAAGATGACAAAAACTTTCATTCCAAAACAAAAATTTTGAATTTTTTTTTAAAATGGCACTTTGTTATCAATAGCCTTATTTGCTTAAAAAAATTTAGAATGACAGTCCAACCACATCGTTCGCCTCCTTCCCATCTTACCCAAACTCTTCGTATTATATGAATCCAATGCTGGCGCAGTCTAGGCTTAACCCGATGGACTTGAATACGTCCTTTTGTTCGGATTCTAGGCTAAATTTGAAGCAGCGAGAAGATAAAAATCACAAAACTGGCGCTGGAACTAATAGTAAGTTGAAGGATAAAGTATTTTTGATAGTGTCGGTACTATATGTTACAGTAGTTTTGGGTTCGAGGGTACTGTGTTATACCTTTAGTTTTGGCTGAGGAGGTACTGAATTATAGAAAGGATACTGTAATTTTAGTGTTTTTTATTACTGGTGATCATGGATGGTTTTTAATAGTAGGTACTGTAACTTTTTTTTATAAAACGACGGTAGCATACTGTAACTTTTTTTATTTATATTGTAGGGTATTGTATCGGTGTCACTAGAGAAATAATTTTTTAATTTTAAAATATATCTGACCTTTATATTAAAAATGGCAAAAACTTTCTTTACAAAACAAAAAAGCAATAATTTTCTTTACATAACTGAAAATGGCAAAAACGTTCTTTACAAAAGTGAAGATAACATTTCTTTTCAGACACTCGAGTGCGAACAGCCGACAAGTACCGTACTGTGTATTCGGAGCAAATTCGACACGTTTTAGAAAGCGAATTCAAAACGTCTGAATACTTGAATGCGGACCGAAAACAACTCCTAGCTACACAACTCGATATGACGGAGCGACAAATTAAAATATGGTTCCAAAATCGGTAAGTTTTTTTTATTAAAATTGACGTTTATTAGGTTTGGGATGGAATAAGGTTTAGTATTGCCCGAAATTACGCTTTTTAAAGTTTTAAAATTTCCTTTGGGCAGAAAACTGCATAACTTCTTTTAATCGTATAACTTGTCATCCGCAGGCTGCAAAACTTTAAAATTTTGATTATATATTAAAAAATGGTCAAAACTTTCTTTACAAAACAAAAGATGGCGAAAATTTTCTTTACAAAACAAAAAATGGCAAGAACGTTCTTTACAAAACGAAAAATAGCAAGACCTTTCTTTACAAATCAAAAACTGGCAAGAACTTTCTTTACAAGAAAGAAAATGGCAAGAACTTTCTTTTCAAAACAAATATTTTCTTTGGCCGCTCGATATTTTGCCACCAATTTTCGACCGGTCGATTTTTTCTCGTTATTTTTCGACCCGTCGATTTTTTCCCTCATTCGACTAGTCGATTTTTTAAAAATTTTTTATTGTTTTCTGAAACGTCCAAACTTTTCCCACAACTTTTCGACCGGTCGATGAAACTTTTACGAAGGTGTCGTAAAGTCTCGCGGTTCCTTCATGCCACTTTGATGTGGTAATCAGATTAATTTTTTATTGTTATTTATCTAAAGTTTTGGAGCCGATCTCGAGTTGCGTCATTCGGACAAATCGAGCCGGTCAATCGGATCGGTGAGGGCTTTGAGGTTGGGGTCAGGTCTCGCGAGCTATCAGACAAGGCATGTTGATTGATAATTGTGATTCATTGAGGTGGTGCTGGGTTTTGTAAAATACGAATGCTTTTTGTTAGGTAAACAAATGGACAGAATTTGCTTTACAAAACATAAAATAGCAAAGACTTTCTTTAAAATTCACAAAATGGCAAGAACTTTCTTTACAAAACATAAAATGGCAAAGACTTTCTTTACAAAACATAAAATGGCAAAGACTTTCTTTAAAATTCACAAAATGGCAAGAACTTTCTTTACAAAACATAAAATGGCAAAGACTTTCTTTACAAAACATAAAATGGCAAAGACTTTCTTTAAAATTCACAAAATGGCAAGAACTTTCTTTACAAAACATAAAAATGGCAAAGACTTTCTTTACAAAACATAAAATGGCAAAGACTTTCTTTAAAATTCACAAAATGGCAAGAACTTTCTTTACAAAACATAAAATGGCAAAGACTTTCTTTACAAAACATAAAATGGCAAAGACTTTCTTTAAAATTCACAAAATGGCAAGAACTTTCTTTACAAAACATAAAATGGCAAAAACTTTTTTATAAGAAAAAGTTGGAAAAACAAAATTCAGAAACTTTCTTTACATTATAAAAATGCTACAAATTAAGCGACAGAACGGCCGATTTTTTGAATTTCGGTAATTGATTTGCTTCCACGACCTGCGCCCCCCCCCCTTTAGCGCAGGCTGCAGAATAGAACTTGCTATCGATGTGGGTTGATTTTTTTGCTTTGTAAAGAAAGTTTTTACCATTATTCGTTTTGTAAAGAAAGTTCTTGCCATTTTATGTTTTGTAAAGGAGGTTCTTTCCAATTTTCGCTTTGTAAAGAAAGTGTTTTCCCATTTTGTGTCTTGTAAAGAAAGTTCTTGCTATTTTTTGTTTTGTAAAGAAAGTTCTTGCCATTTTTTGTTCTGCAAAAAGTTATTGTCATTTCCTATTAAATTTTTAAGCGCTTCCGTTACAGTATCCCAAAAGTCATAACCATTCGTTTTGTTGTCATAAAACCGCAATTGATCTGTAATTTCGCATAAATCTCGTAATCGACCACCAAAAATATGGGAGAACATTTAACGATCATGTCGAACAAGTAATTAAAACGTTAATGGCCTTTTTTTGTAATTTGGCGATAACCGTTCCCTCTTTGTCGGCAAACCGAATTCACAAAAAAGGCCTGAAATTGCCTTTTCCAATCAAAGCTACTACTTATTTTAATCGTCGAAGATAATTTCGGGTTTTTATAAAAGTTTTTTTTTGGTTTTTGTCAGTTTTTTTGAGTGTAATGGTGTTACGGTAGGTCATACGGAGAAGAAAAGTTATTTTAAGCTGTCTTTTGTTTAGTAAGTGGAAGGGGAGTTACTTTAGGTTTAAAATTGTTGTTACTGTAGATTGAAGATTAGTGTTACTGTGGCTTGAGTATTGGTGTTATTGTGGCTTGAGTATTGGTGTTACTGTAGACGGAAAATGTTACTTTTTGCATAAATCGTCGATATAACTTGTGGACAACTTTCGTATAACTTGCCGCCCCCACACTGCAGAACCAAAAATGTTGATAATATTGTGTAAAAATGGCAAGAACTTCCTTTACAGAGCTTGAAATGGCAAGGACTTTCTTTACAAGACGTAAAATGGCAAGAACTTGCTTTACAGAGCTTAAAATGGCAATAACTTCCTTTACATCATCATAAACCTAATTTCAATAATCCACCGTACCCCTTTTTGACCTTGTTTTTGAAAACCGGTCTAGTCGAAAAGTCTATGATTTCCGGTCGATTGTAAATCATATTTTACGAGGCTCAATATCCCCCTTTCCAATAACAATATGTGGATCTGTGCTTTTGTTGCGATTCGAAGGTTTACGACACAGCATCTGCCAATTGAGGAAATTGGACTTGAAAACGGCATTTTTGTCTTTTCTTATGTTAATACCATTAAAACAGTTGTTTTGTAAAGAAGGTTCTTGTCACTTCTTGCTTTGTAAGTTCTTGCATTTATTTATTGCACCGTATAATTTGCTGCCCGCAGGCTGCTGTTGGTCAAACCGATAAAATGATGTTTTGTAAACAAAGTTCTTGCCATTTTCAATTTTTGCGAAGAAAGTTCTTGCGTTTTGCTGTTTTGTAAAGAAAGTTCTTGTCATTTTTTCCAAAAATTTAGGTAATTTTTAAATATTTTCGCAATTTCAAAACAAATTTTAATTTCTCCTCCAAAACGCCATAAAAAGTTACAGTATTACTGAAGCGGTAAGAAAATAAAAGTTGACCTCGCCAAATGCGGGGGTGGTAAAACTGACACGGCCCTCCGCCATTTGCGATCAATTAGCGTCGCCTGAGAAATTCAACAGTTGAGCGGGTCTTTTGTCATTCAATAATAATATTATGGTGGTATAAATAAATAAATGTGAAGAATTTCGTGAAAAAAAGGAAGATATTAAAAAGCGAAGTAACATATTTTTAAAATTTTTAAAATCCTTGATATTTAAATAAAGTTATTGCCACTTTTTGCTTTGTAAAGAAAGTTTTTGCTATTTTTATTCTGTAAAGCAAATTTTTCAATTTTTCGTTTTGTAAAGAAAGTTCTTGCCATATTTTTAATTTTTAATTTGCTATTTGATCGTTTTGCAGCCTGCGCGGGTCAAGTTATACGGAGAATTATGCTTGCAGACTTTATTAATATAAAAAACAATTTTTTAACACAAAAGGATTAAAAATGACAAGAAATACTCATTAAATGACAACTAGACTAATTTTTCTTATTTTCAGCCGAGCCAAGGACCGAAAGCGAGGTAAAAGCAAAATGTCACCACTATCAGGGGGAATGTACTAATCATGACATTCCTTTGGCCATATCAAAGAGGATAAAGTAATTTCTGCTATCATTTAACGATTCCCATCACAATATCAGTATTTCTCACATACCTTTGTATCATCTTTTCAACTTCACATCATATAACCTTATATTTTACTTGCTGTTATATTATACTACCTTGCTCATGTAATGTCGAATCAAACCAAAACTCATGTTGTGAACATTTTGAAATTTAAAGTGTGTCATTTTATTATTGTTTGTGAAATGGCAATCGATGTTTGATTTGATTTTTGGCCGTTTCGAAAGTTTCTAGGATCTTGCACTGTGCAAACCTCTTATAATGACTGCACTGTGCAAACCTCTTATAATGACTGCACCGTGCAAACATCCCAGAACCTTTGAAACCAATCAATAAGGCTTGCCCAACTTTTACAGAGTACTGGTTTCCAACTTTTACTATATTCTCTACCTATTTTCGGTCCAACGGGTTACTGTCTCATTTCGTAGGTTTGGTTACTGTATTATTCTTAAGCGGGACGATTTGGAAGGAAAGTTCTTGCCGTTTGAAGACTACTCGATCAAATTTTGTCACTTTTAATCGTATGCTTTATTGTATAGTTGTCTGTATTGTATGATGGTTTTTTGCGGTCAAAAAGTTTGTAGAAAAGGGTTTTTTGAGGGCTTTTGGTCGCTTTTGGCAATTTTTATGGTGTTTTGGATAAAAAAATTCAGTTTTTCGCCGTTTTTAATATGAGGTGGGCTAAGAAATTGAGTTTCTACGAACTTTTTGATCAGACCAATATGTTTTTGATTGTTTTTTTGTAAATTTGTATATCGTTTTGTCTATAATACGGATGTCATTATAACATTTCCTAACCTTTATCATACCTTTTTGACCTTATTTTACCTTTTTTTATCTTACTGTATATTTTTCTGACCTTATTGTACCTTTTTTGACTTAAAGTTACCTTTTTTGATCTTATTTTACCCTTTTTTTGACATTGCTTTACCGTTTTATATGTTGGTTATTTCGTATCATACCCATTCCAGTACTGTAAACAAATTTCTAAAGTAATTTCTTGCCGCTCTTATCACTATGTACTATAATTTGTATTAAAACTCACGTTTTTATATATAATTTGATAGTCTATGACACGCTAAGTTATTTTTTTAATATAATAGTGTTAATAAACCGTAGATATTAAGATGGGTTTTGATTTGAAAACTTTTGAAGGTATAAATATCAGTTTTATCAAGCCTTATCAAACAAAACTAGCTACTATAAGAATATAAAGTTAAAAAATAAGACTATTATAAGGTTGTTTAAATAATTCTGTGCCCCCTAATCACGAAAACTTGTTTTGAAAGGGGGCACAGCATTATGCAAACCATATAAAGGAGGCACAGAATTATTTGAACAATATAATTAAAAGGGAGCACAGAATTAAGTAAACAATACAAAGAGGGCAAAACATTCCTTATACAATATAATTAAAAGGGGGCACAGAATTATTTTAACAACCTTATAATATAGGACATTATAATACGGTAAGCTTACGATGAAGTTCATGACCAATATCACAACTATTTTAGATGATCCGGTCCAAAACCTAAGGGCAAAAGCTTGTGAGTAGTCGTACGAACTTGAACTTTACCATCTGGAGAACATAGTAGGACCTGAAATTGTTTAATACTCAAAAATTTTTAAAAAACATCAAGTTTTGTAAATTTAGTCAAGTTAATACTAATGTCAAAAAAAAGTTAAAAATAAGTAATTTTAGGTATCAATAATAAGGTAAAATACGAAATTGACAATATTCTTAAAATAAATATAAAAAACATATTTCCAACACTAAAACCCACTTCAAAATCTCCAAATTCAAACAACATTTGCCTGCACATTCCACATGGTGACCCTCCGTCAGGTACTCTCGTTGCTACAGCAATGCATTTGAACTTTCGAGTTCCTTGAGTTATTGCCGTGCCTAGAGCAACACGTTCGGCACAAGTTCCAACCGGATAGGCAGCGTTTTCCATGTTCACTAAAAAGATGTGGGTTATATTGTGGCACACACCCTAAGCTCCATAATTTGATAGGTATACCTAATCCTTTTTTTGCAAAATCTTATGCTCTGAACTTTTTTACCGGTTCATAAATTATAAAATTGTAATCTACAAACTTTTATCTTCTACAAAAATAAAGTTCCACCCCATATCTCATTAAAATCCAAAAGTCATGACCAAAATACAATAAGATACCCATACCTCCATCATAGATAACATTGTCTTCAGATAGTAGTGCAGCACCAACATGAAATTTACTGTACGGGCAATAGGCGTTCTTCATGTTCGCTGTAGCACGTTGAGCCAGCTCCAGACGTTTTTCTTCCGTTACTTCTACCATCTACAACAATATTAACGTAGATGGATATTTAGGTACGTTTTGATTAAAATATCTTGAAACAACTTGCCGTAAAGCTTTTAATTCATATAAAAAATTTTTTCTAACTACTTTTGGAGTAATATACGTACTTCTAGACTAAAAATTGTAAGTAAACATATCTAAATTTAAATAATACCAAGTGTAATATCAAAATTAAGTCAAAATACCCAAAATTTTTATATTTTCTGAGTAAAAAAATATAAACATGTTCCAAAAACTATCCAAAAACAAATAATAACTTGTTAACCACAATATTATTTCAAAAAACGATCAAAAAACCCGATCGGGAGCCGCAGAAATTAAAATGCAACGTGTCCAGCCCCTGAAAGCCTTGGTGTCGCGGACTTTAAAACCAAAAAACTTTACCAAGAATCAGATAATATCAAATGGTTATAGCTTTTGCTAATGTAAGACATCTATATCAATAATCTTTCATGGTAAAATGTATAATTTCCGACCAAAAATAAGGGAAAAGTGAAGTTTTTAACAGGTTTGTTGAGTCTATAACAATATAATTTTTATAATTACTTAAAAGATATAAAAAAAAAAATTATAAAAATATAAAATGGATTAAAAACCAATGACAGAGCACCAAAGAGACAGTAAAGTTAAATTAGTTTATCAAGAATTAATTTTTTGTTAGCAAAATCTTTGTGCAGGCTGCGTAGCCAAGTTATACGAAAGCTTTTTCTTTTGAAGTTTTGAACTGAATGTTTGGGCATAAGTTAGGTTTTTAGATACTTTACAAGTTTTCTAAGCTTTTTAAAGTTTATTTTATTATTATATTGTTTTATTTTGACTATTTTTTAAATAACTGCTTTTTAGGTAACAATTTTTAATTTTTAGGTGACAATTTCAATAAAACTTCTAAAAAATATTTAAAAAGTAAAGTTTGAGTCCATAATAGTATGTCCTTCAGTTTCAAACATCTAATTTTATGCAGTTTTCCCTAATTTAAAAAAATAACAAATGAATCAAGCGTTTTTAATTGTATGAGGCATATTCAGCGGCCGAATTTAGTTGTTCTTTATATTATTATATTTCCGAAATGTTAAATTCTTGGCAAGTCTTCTTCTTTATATTAATATGGAAAGTTAATTGTGAATGCTATGAGAATTACCGGGCTTGTCCACATGAAAGTGTGTGCGAACTAATGCAAGGAAGAGATTTAGGTAGGATAAGATAACTTTAAATCGCCATAACTTTTTGACCGCTCAATGAAATAAGTCTAAAATTTGAGAGAGAGAAGAAAAAGTCATTTAAGTCGTATTTTATAAAAATAATAGCATTTTTGGTATTTTTTCATCTTGTTGTATTTAAAAATGGCATTAAAATTAAAGTTTAAAAAAACTGCTTTCAGATCAGTTCTTTGAAGCGATCCGTAACAAAAATCGTATTTTCAACCGTAATGTTACAAAGGTTTGCCAAGGGACTGATTTATCAGAACATTACCTTCTTATGAAGAGGATATACGTGCCATCTTTGATGTGTTCGTTGGTCAAGAACGCTGGAGGAAGCTTGGATCCTTTAAAGTTTGATCCTGTATTGTATGTTAGTGCTTTTCTGCTTGTGTTATGTGAAGGGAGAGTAGTGTAAGTTTTTAATTTGAGTACTCAATATTACGAATTTTATTACCTAAATTATGTTTTTTTAAAGTTTTTTAATTTTTTTTAAATTTATTTTTCAGTCCACCTACAACTACAGCAACTACTCCTGACTGGTCTGTATTTGTTAGGGACGCGTACATAGAGGATTGTAACCACCCAGACCTTTGGTATTATTGTCAGATGGTAAAGTTCTTTTTCATAAGAGACGATCCAAGAAGACAAGGCGTTTGTAACGCCATCAGTTTGGAACAAGAAGTCGAATGTCTGGTCACTCAGGTGGATCCTAAGGAACGGTAGGGTAAAAAAATACAGTTTTTTTTATTTTTTTGTTTGGGTAGGGTAGGGGAGAGCCAAATGTGGCTTTTAAAGTGTCATAGATATGGCTAGAAATATCATAGAGTAGACTAAAACAAACGTAACGCTACGGTTTGAGGAGCCATATTATAGTATGGCGGTAGATGGGTAGGATTATGGCAGGGTTACGGTAGAAAAAGGATAAGACGAGGGTAAGGCGCAACGACAAGGTGAGGTACGGTATGATAGGGTATAATGGGTTAGGATCGGGTAGGGTAGGGTAGAGTAGGACAACGAAAACATAAAATATTCAAAAATTTTGAAAGAAATTTAATTCCAGCTGCCAAAGCGACAATATGTATGAATTTTCTTGGAATTTTTTAAAATTTGCGGCTTTTGAAGAAGATGGAATCGAGTTTTTTGGACCGATGTCAGAAAGTATTAAACCTAGTGAATACATTGATTTCAAGAAAAAACTAGTTAACAATGCCTACTTCAACAATGTGTTTCATGAGTTGAGGGAGATTCAGATCGTTGAAAGCCAGCTATATCTACATTTTATGGTATCTTCATTGATTTTGAATAACCTAGGCAAAGCGGCTAGACAGGTAGGGTAATATTTGATGGTATTAGGCATACTAATATAGTAGTAATAGTGATACAATATTAAATACTGTCACTGTTAGGTTGTTTTGGTAAAATACGATGTTTGAAATTAAAAATAGTATGGTTTTGCAAAATTTTAGACCGACCGTCTTTTGAAGAGCTACTGTTCAAACGGATGTCACCTGAATAATAATACTAAAGGTTGCACATCTTCTATTTTTCATAAAGACATCAACAATCCGGAGCCAAAGAAGAGTCAACATGCTTATATGTAAGTTTTTAATCGGTAGTACGGTATTTTTAGAAGTTTAGTGTAATTATCTACTCTGTTCTAGGTTGCTGTTGAGGGTAGGTTACGGTAGAACAGAGCAGGTAAGGGCAAGGCAAGGCGCGGTAGCACAGCGCACGGTAGAGTAGGATAGGGAAACGTAGGAGGGAGTGGGATAAAACAAACTAAGCAAGAGCAGGGCAAGACAAGGCAACGCAGAATAGGTTAGAATATGTTAAACAGTGTAGGACAGAGTAGGGGAGGGTAGGGTAGAACAGGGTAAAGAAGGACAAGGAAAGACAGGACAGGGCAGGTCTGTGTAGAATTCGGCAGGGTGGGGTAGGAAGGGGTACAAAATAGGGTAAGGCAAAGGTGAAGTAGGATGAAGCAGTGGGGAAGCACGGTCATATGCAATATATAAAATTCTGTTACTGATAACAATTTTAAGTTTACCATAGTAGTTTACGTTTTACAGGAAACTAGAATGCAACAAGCAAAACCTGTACATCCAAAAGAAATATACCATTGGTTATGTTGACCTAGAGAGCTTTGTAAAAACCGAAAACTTTAGATGTGTCATCATAGTACTGGCTAGTTGCTTTGGAATTTTGATGAATATTTACATGGTAATACTGTTTACCTTATTACAATATTTTTTGTATTTTTTGTTGGGGCATCTTGAATACCGTGTTTTACATTACTATGATTTGTTGGACGGGTCGGCTAAGTTTTTTAGGTCTGGTCCAACTTTTTTAAAGTCATGCTTAATTTGAAAGTTATACTGTAGCATTTAGGTATACCTACTCTACATGGCACGCCACAAACTAATCTCGAGTGGTGTAATCCTGGTGTTTGCATTTGCTGTAGCTAACTTATTGTACCTTTTCATGAATTTGTACTTTGTTCAACAACAGTTTTATCCATTCTTTGAAGAACGAAACAATGCCGACTTTTTTCGAATTTCGAATTATTCAAGACAACGAGATGACACCTTCTTGGCCGCGGTTTCTGCATTGAGACTGACTTTGAATGACGTATATAGGTTTTGAAGTGTAATGGGAATGGGCATGTATCAATAGGGGTGGAAGGGGGAGGAAGAAGGGGTAACTTTGGTCTTGACTAAATGAGGGTAGAGTGGGGTAGTGCAAGGCAGGGTAAATTGAGATGGATAGAGTAGGGTATGATGGAGTAGGGTAAAGGGTAAAGGAGAGTGAATAATTAAAAAAATATTTTTTTTTGATGAAAAGAAAATAGGGTAGGGTAAACTTTGGGGCAAACATGTTTTAAATAGTAGGGGGTATGTTATGAAGTTAAAAAAATTTTATAATTTTTAAATTTTTGTTTAAAAAATGAAGTTTCAGCGCTATGGCAACGTAGAAACTGGCGATTTTTCCCAAAAACATCAAGGAGTCTGGTGGCTAGCTATTGTTGAAAGCTTTCTGGTCAATTTCTCACGTTCGGTCGCTGCTTGGGTACTTATTCTGATCATAGGGTTGGCGTTCTACGAGCTTAGATCGGTGAGTTTGTACCTAATTTTTAATTTTATTAAATTTTATTTCTTGTTAAAAACAAAGTTTACCCTACCCTATTATATCGTACTCTACCCTACTCTATCTTACTATACCTAACTCTACCATATTTGACTCTTCCTTGCTTTATCTTATCTTACCCTAACTTATTTGGTAGGATAGTATACGATAGCGTAAGGCGCTACTTTGCTCTAGCTCTACTCTGCTTTAGTTTACCTTGCCTCGGCCTGTTTAACCCAATGCTATTTCACTTTTGCCTTACTGCCTTATCTTACTCTTTCTTACCATGCTCTATCTTACCTTACTCTTCCAAGTTTACTTTACTTTACTCTATTATACTATTTTATACAGGGTGCGCCAAAAGTGCTGTTACAAAACTTAACCGGTCTTTTCTCTATGTTGCGGTTAAATTAATTAAAATTTTTTTTATTTTAGCTTATTCTCCGTGTTTTTTTTATTGTATAATCATAAAAGTTAAGTCTTCATTGTCTACCGTCTGTGTATATTTAGATGTCAAACATGAAGGCTATCATCAACAAATTTCATAATGAATAATTGTTAAAAAAAGCTTTGAGCATAAATTAAACTAACTTTATTTAATTAATTCATTTTTCGTATTTCACAAAAAAAATTTTTTTAAATCGAAATTTTAGTCATTTTGTGGCCAGATTCGGCCGAGTGTCAAGAAATGTTTTATTGTTTTGATATTGATATCTGGTGTCGGAATGGTCGCTGTTTACATTTTTATTGGCAGTTTGGAGTACACGAACATTAGTTACTTAAACGAGGTAATGCAGTCCAGAGGTTATAATCAAACTGCTATTGAAAATCAGTAGGTTATTTAAATTTGAAAATTGTTTTAGTAAAATGTAGACAAACTTTAAGTATGGTAAAATACGGGGATTCTTTCGACGAGGCAAACATATAGAGTATAAACTTGGTATTGAAATGGATTGGTTAAGGCTTGGATAAAATTTGTATGAGTTTGGTGTGAGAAGGTACGAGGAGATGATAGATTAAGTATAATAAATTAAGGTTGGCTTTTGGTTGAGGTTTCAAGAAATTGCTAAGGTACTGAAAGGGTAGGGTAAGGGCAAGAAAATATACGGTAGGGTAGAAGAGACTATTGTTGGGTATGCCAAGCTTGAGAAGCGTATAATTGTGTAGGGCATGTGGATTTGAGGAATGGGCTTTCAACCACGGCCCAATTTAAATTTGGATCAGGCCCGGTCCGGCCCGTTCATCATGTCTAAGGGCAGGATGGAGAAGGTGGGGGCAGGATATGGTACAGTAATTTAAGATAGCATAGTGTAGGGTAAGGTAGGGTAGGGTAGGGTAGGAATGTGCTATACTATACTATACTTTTTCAGGTGCGAAAAGCTACTAAAACAAGACGTACGAAAAGAACTACTAAAAGGCCATGCCTACTTTATGGTCTTCTTCTTCGTAGTGTCAGTACTTTCTTTACTAGGTTTATTTGCCTATCACAAATACAAAGTCAAGAAATCAGCCAATAGTATACCTCCACAAGTCTATGAGGAAATGAAGAAGTCGTGGAAAAGCTTATCACTGGCTTCTTTTGTTTATATTGCATCTAATTTTGGCACTACTCTGGTCGAAATTCAAAGTTTGTTCCGGCTGGGTAATTACATGACCCAAACTGATGTGGAATATATTGCCAATTTGTATCGATGGCTCTACTTGTTGTCGTTGATTGATCCGGTTGTTCATCCACTGATTTTGATCTACAGGTTTAAGGTAATGTGCTTAAGCAAGTGGTAAAGGTTAGTCTTTGCTTTGCTACACCTTGCCTTGCCGTGCCTTGCCTTGCCTTGCCTTGCCTTGCCTTGCCTTGCCTTGCCTTGCTTTGCCTTGTTCTGTTTAGCCTTAACCTGCGCTACACTGTACTACCCCTAACGTACCTGATTTTTTGCATATTGTATTTTACCCTGTCTTATCCTCTAAACGCATTAGAATGCACGTTTCAGACCCTCCGCCATCTCCACTACAATGTCCAAAAGGAGCTGACCAATCTACAATTAAAATCGATTCTCCGCAAAATGTCGGCCACTTTTACATCTAAAAATACGAACAAGATTACCCGGTTTGACGACGAAAAGACTAGCAGTATTAGGCCACGACGTTTGCGAGCTAGCGTACAACAAGACCTTCAATGGATGTTGAACTACTTGGAACGGGAAAAGAAGGCCAAGATGGGGGAAATTTAAAAATACTTTTTTAAATGAATGTGGAATTTAATATTAATAAAGGTACATATATAAATATACTATTACAATAGTCATAGTTTAGACCGGGTCACAGCTAAAACATAGTCGTGGTTCCTATCCATAGCCTTAGCCATAGCCATAGCTCTATTCCTAGTCCTAGCCATAGGCATAGCCACAACCCCAGCCGTATTTATAGTCATAGACATAGCCACGGCCTTGCTCTAACACTAGCTATAGTCCCAGCACTAGCCGTAACTATAGCCATAACTCTAGCCCTAATTCTTGTCCTGGCCATAAATATAATCAGTGTCTTCAAGAGCTTCTCGTAGCTAGAGCTGAAGCAGAATTTATAAAAAAGCAACGCCAAAGTTAAAGCCACAAAACCTTGAATTACTGTACTAAAGTCTTCTGAAGCCAGCACGACGCCGGTTTTGAGACTGCTTCAGATTTGGGGTGGCAGACGAAGTTAAAATTTAAAAAAATGGAGCCAGAGCTGGAAAATTTTAAATTTGGATTTCCTGTTTATAGTCATAACCCTAGTCTCAGATTTTGAGTTAGACTACCTTAGTTTTAGTTAATCATTTTAATCTTTATGCTTTAGATATTTTAATTTATTTTTTAGCTGATTAATCAAACACTTTTACCTTTCATGTAACACAATTTTATTAGGACTAATTTGAAATGTAAATGTTATTACAGTATGATTATAATTGGAATAATAATGGGATTGCACGTATTTGAATATGTTTCGAATGGTGAAATGTTAAGACAGAAATGTAATATGAAAACCGGCACGATGAAAGGGTTAGAATCTGATTGTACGATAAGTGTAATGCCGTTGATGGGAATGAATTGGGTGCGTAGATATATATTAGCCTACATCTATATGTCTATGTCGGTGTAGTTAACATTTACATAACATATGTTAAGATATAAGCATGTACTGAAGCTTCAAAAAAGTTTTGCCGTTTCTTAGCACTGTTTGTGATGTTAAAAAACGACAAAACTTTTTTTTACCATTTCTATACAGTCTTATATCGGTTGTAAATGTTATACTGTATGTTATATTGTACATACACATATAGGTATATAAATACGCAGTAAAACTAGGTGCAAAATGCCAATGAAAGACTACAATTCTTGAATGCTAGGGTTATATTGAAGCTATAAGGCTAAATGGATGTTCAAGTTGGTCTACTTGGTACGATATATTATGTTAAAGATTACATAGTACAACATAATATGCTTAATCTACAGTTCGATGTGCTGAATTTCATACACGATTTAAAAAATTGGTACAAAAGGTAGGGTAGCGACCTTTTAAGCTACTGTACTAACTTAATCAGCTACAGTCGCTACGATAAAAATGATTTTTATGAATGATAATACATGTAGGTATAGTAAAGTCAAAAAAAAATTGACAAAAAGTTATGATACATAAAGAATGGCGCGTAACGTCTAACATTACGTCTCCTTTTGCCCTTACGCCATTCTTTTTGCATCAAAACAATTTAAAAAAAAAGATGTGACTATGATTGATAAGTTAGCTTTATATATGTTACGAACAATGTAAACAATTAAATTGTTTATATAATTCTGTGCTCCTTCTCACAGCAAACCTTTAAGATTCAGAAGCTCAGAATTATTCGAACAATAAAAAAGAAAAAAAAATTAAAGTTGTACAGTAATGAATACCTTTTGGCCTATATTTATTAAAGTTTGGCAGTAGATAGCCTTAGCTAAATAGCAAGATTCTATGAACTTTTTGACCAAAACCTGACCAAAGATTGAGTTTAAAGATGACAATGTTTGGTACTACAGCATCTTTGTAGTTTTTCTTCACTTATTGTAGCATAGTAAACTTCATGATCTCTTTAACAAACTCCACGTTCTCAGCAGCATCAGATTCTTCCATAAACTTCACCAACCTCGACCGGATTTCAGCCAGCCGGTTGGCTAAAGCCTCGTTCTTTTCACTCAACTCAAGGTCGGCCTGAGACTTTTGCTCTCGAATCTTGTTGATCTCCATACTCAACTGTACCAACTTGTTTTTAGCCACCTGACAATCAAAGCACGCTGAGTTGGGCGAGGTGCTGGAATTGGAGTTGGTTGGACTAGCCGAAAAGTTGTGGCCGCTGCTATTGTCCAGGGATGCTGAAGATTTGGTTTGGATCTCCAGGTTCGGGATGTCTTTTGAGTATGGTGAAGATGAAGTTTGACGTGTTTCAAGAGATGACATGGCGTTGTTTAAGCACGATAAATGGCTAGATTCTGGAGATTGGTTCAACCGATGTTGTTGTAAGTTATTTAGATGGTTTAGACTTCTGTTTTGGCTCAGAATCATATGATTTTGGCTTTCAGAATCCTCATTATGAGTTGATGATGCTACAGAATTAACAGCTTCAGTACAATACTCAGAAGATCGTTCAAACCCTTCTGAAGTGTAGTCAGGGCTTCTAACATTACCGTGGTCTACTGGAGAAGCTGAGTTAGATCCTGAAGACACTGAAGTCTTTGCACGATGAAGCAGAGAATCAGAATTCATAGCACGGTCTAATGATGAAGCAGAATCCAGTTTACGATCAAGAGAAGAGACTGAATTCGCAGCCCGGTCAAAGCAAGTCGACCGGTCGATTAAATCTTCAGCCGAGAAGAAGGATGTACGATGTTCTGAGTCATCTGAATCTACTTTGACTTCTTTTTCGTCTTCTACGTTGTTGTTATTGTCATTGCTCGACTTTATAGATTGTTCTAGAATCTGTTGCATCAGATTCTGAAGAGCTTCTTGAGATTGAGTGGCCATATTCTTGGCCGAATCAAGCTGGTTGGCAAATAAAGTAGGGTTGAAGAAGTTGAAGGCTGAAAATAAAGGGTTATTGTAACTTTTAGTGAGTTTATTGTAAGTTAAAGTAAAAATGCAGTACTTTTAAAAATATTTTTTAAAGTTTTAAATGCAGAAACTTTCTTTACAAACTTAAAAAAAGGACTTGAGCTTGATCCTAGCCTAAGCCTAAGCTTGAGCTTAAGCCTGAGCATTAACATGAGCCTGAGCCTAAGCCTAAGCCTAAGCCTGAGCCTGAGCCTGAGCCAGAGCCTGAACTTGAACCTGATTTTGATTCTATACCTAATCCTAAGCCGGCACTTACGCCTAAGCCTGAGCACAGATCAGAACCAGAAAACGAATCTAAACCTAACGCTGAACCTGAGCCCGAGCTCGACTTTTAGCCTTATTTTTTTGTGTTTAGCTTTAACCCTAGCCTAATCCTAGAAAAAACGCAATCTTACCATTGCTCTCATCACTGCCTTCAGCACCCTCAGTACCAGTTGCACCAAACGGCATATTCATCACATTGCTTCCAGGTAGCCATAAGTTATTCAATAACAATCGATCTCTCAGTTTCAAAAACAAATCTGCATTGTCGCGGGGAATCATCGACAATTGAGGGAAGAGGCTGTTCTGCGGGTTATCGCAGCTCGCGCCCGACGCTGTGCTGCTTGGTGTTAAGGGAGAGGTGATTCCGGGCTTGATTACTGCTGAAAATGACATTTTTAAACAAGTTTTAAAATTTTTTGAATTTTTTGGATTTTTAACAAGAACTTTCTTTACAAAACAAGAAATGGCAAGAACTTTCTTTACAAAATAAAAAAATGGCAAGGACTTTTTTTACAAAGCAAAAAATGGCAAGAACTTTCTTTACAAGACAAAAAATGACAGTAACTTCCTATACAAAACAAAAAATATCAAAAACTTCCTTTCCAAGACAAAAAATTATTTTTTTTCAAAAATTTTTGTCATAATTCGAAAAAAGGTTACATTTTACACAGTTTCAATTATCAAAAAACCGTTTGCGTGTCAAAATTCCAAAAAAACTTTGAATTTAATGGTCGGAAACGAAATTCTAGGCAAATTTTAGTTACACTCCTGATATGACAAGGTGTTTTTTGTAGAATTTTAAAGTTGTGTGGTCTTTTTTATACAGTTTTTTATGTATACATTGGGTTTTTGTCTTTTACGACGGCGTAAAAAAGTTTAAAATTAAGTTTTTTGACGGATATTGGGCTATTTTTAGGGAAAGAAGTGGCATTTTTTATATTTTTTTAAATTTTTTTATCTTTTTAAATCGAGACTTATATGAAAAACGTTGTTAACATACTGTACAACGCTTTGGAATAGAAAAAATAAGTTTTTTGACCGATTTTAAACTATTTGTAACAAAAAATGGCTTACTTCTATGACATTTCAAGCCTTTTTTTAATATTTTTATCAATTTTTTGTAGCAAGTAGTGTACCGTTGTGTCACGACAAAATATTGTACCAGGATACTATGCTACAACCTTACTTGTCCGTATTTTACAAACAAAAAACTGTCTCTACACTGAACAAAAAAATATTGTTATAGGTCAATGATCCTTCAAAATTTTTTTTCAAAAACCAAAAAAAAATTTTTTTTTAAATTTTTTGAATTGCCGTTTTTAACAAAACTAACCTTATTTTCATGCTCAATTTACCCAAGAACCCTTTTAAAATTAAAAAAAATTAACTTACAGCTTCCAAAACTAGTCGAAACAGCCGTTGGGTTCATTCTCATTCCCAAATTCATTGGATTTAAAGCAGGGAAGGCGTTTCTCAGCTGTTGATTGTTGAGCTGCGCGGCCAGTACGTTATTGAAGAGTTCTTCTGTATTGCCAAAGTTTAGTGTTTGGCTGGGAGGAGATGATATTGGGGGTAGACCTTTGCCAATGACTGGGACGTTTAGGGATGACTTTGTTCCATCGGATTTGCCCTTAAAATAACATTGAATTAAGTGGTTTAACTCGAGGTAAAACCGTATTTTACAATTGATTTGTCTTCAGAATTTCACTTTTTGAAAAATTTTTTGTCAAGGATTACTGTACTTTTTTAAAAATTCAAAAAGAAATTTGGAAAATTTAAAAAAAAGTCATATTTTAGGTAATATCTCATTACCATGCTACAAAAACATAGCGTGGTATAGCACCAATAAGCTACCATACTATCTTGATGACATTACATAAAAAAGTTTTATGCCTTACCTGCATGTGCATGTGTAATGACGTTTTGTCAGGAAAGGCCCAATTGCAGCAACGGCACATAAACATCCGCGAAATTTGATGTTGTTTCAGCATGTGGGCTCGCAGGGTCTCGTTACCTAAATTGGGAGGTTAAATTCTTATACAATCTACTTTTATTGGTTTTTTAGCCGAATTTAAAAAAAATTTGAAAAAAAATTTAAATTAAAATTTAAAATTTTAAATTATTGTTTCAGGCAAGGTCGTATTTTACGAAAAAAAATCTAAATTTTTGCACTATCTTACTCTAATTGCTCTATTTTACTCTACTCTACTTTACTCTACCTTATCATATATTACGCTACTGTCTTTATGTCAAAAAAAAAGTAATTTTTGTTCGATTTTTTAAGTTACAGTAAGAAATCAAGCTTTTTTGTTACAGTAAGATTGTTAATGTCTTAAAATTGACATTTTTTGTTTCCATTTGAAAATAAAATTCTTGTCGCCAATTTACTTTATTTTGCATAGTAAAAAACGACAAAACTTTTTTCAAAAAAAATTTTTTTACTTTTAGTTTATCTTTGAAATTTTTAAACAATTTTTTAAATTTTAAATTTTTATTTGATGATTTTTTAAATTATTTTTAATATTTTCGCTCAAAAGTTTCAACAAATTTTTTAATTTTTTAAAAATTTTTAACAAATTTTTCAAAACTAATTTAGTATTACCAAGACGAGCACTTTCAGCCGGCTCAGAACAAGTTGATTTTTTGTTGCGAATTGGTTCATTCTCATTACAGTCCAGCCAATTCCTCAGCTTTCTCTTCCGCGAACCCGCGAATTTGGCACTTTCAAACGCCCGCAAGTACTCTGTCTTGCGTTGTAAAATACGACACACATTACTTTTGGCAATCTCGTACAACTCAGCAATTGAAGCTTGTGATAGGTTAGAGTTATTCTCGGCCAGGCGGATCAACTCGACTTTTTCGGCTAACGTTAGCTCTTTGTAGGGCTTCTTTTTGCGACGTTCGGGCGATAGTAAAGGGGTGGCTATGTCTACTAGGGCCATGGTAGATTGGAGAGTTTGGATTTTACTTTTTTTTTATTTGAGATGCTAATATGTTTTAGTTACGGTTACTACGAAGGCAATAGGTTAAAAATTGTCGAAATTTCTAAAAATTCAAGGAAATTTAAGCTTAAAGTCATCAAAATCGCGCGAATTAAAAACAATGTTAAAATTCAAAAAAAGTTAAACTTTCTTTACAAGCTAAAAAAGGCTTGGATATAGCCATAGTCATAGCCAAAAAGAAACAAAATACTATTTTCAGTCAAAGACAGCTTATTGTGTACTATTGTTAGTGTGGTTAACATACCTCATTAACCCTCAAAAAAAATTTTTTTGAAAAAAAATTTAACTTGGTCCCCCCTGTGGATTTTTTTTCAAATTTTTGAAAAAATCAAAAAATTAAAAAATTATATTACATTTGCTTACTAAAGACAAAATTATTAACCGAGCGCTCTTTACTATAGTAAAACATCCTATCTTAGCTATAAAACACCTAAAATTTGAAAAAAATCCGCGATTGCTCCTAAAACAGGCTGTTTTTCAGAAGTTTTCAGCGTTCCAATCAACAAAAAAGAAGATAAAAAGTGCATAAAAAGTATCAAAAAATCGTTAAAACCGTGCTTCCTTAAACCGAACATGGATAATTTACAGCGTTCGAATTTACGAGTTTGAATATAGGCATGTTTTTCGATTTAAATTTAGAGCAGAGTCTTTTGACTATGGGGGAGAGGTAATAATGCCTTTTTGAGATGCGGGAGGGGTAATAGTGAGTGGTTTGACCCTGCCAAAATTAAAAAAAAAATTTTTTTGGAATGGTATTGACATTAAAAATACAAAAAAAAATATTTTTTAAATTTATTTTTACCACTCTTTTTAAAAAAATTTACCCCCGCCCTGAGTAAAAAATATACCTCTTAACTCACCCTGTCTTACCGTACTAACTATAAAAAAAATTGTGATAATTCCAGAAAGAAAGCTTATATCCTACCGATCTCTTCCTTACCTCTCTCCCCTTTTACCCTCCCCCCTCCCCCAAAAAAAAGTTAACTCTCCCGGAACAAAAAGTACCTCAGTACCAACCTTACCCCTACTTAAAATCTGTAATAGGCCTAATTAAAGCCTGTTTTTTACCCATCTTTCCTTCACCCATCTCCCTCTTGCCCATCACCCCTTACTCTGTAAGCTTGCCACCCCCTCAACTTTAACTCCGCAGTACCACCCAAACCCTACATGAATCAGCCCTAGTTGGAAAGAATGCACGATGAAAATAGACCAATACCGATCTGAAATCTCAATCATTTTTTGCGCATTATCGTACTCCTCATCAATCAATTAAGCGGCAACTCGCTTCGCCGATGCGCTTATTGGTCGTTCCCAGAAAACAACTATATCAATGTGTTGATAACGTCAGACATCTGGGCGCCCCTACCCCCTTGGGTGTTTTCGTCAATTGCAATAAGTTCGCTTTTTTCGATCACTACTACTTCATCGACTCGATTTGAAACTTGAATTACAGTCTATCAAGATCGAGGAAGTATAATACTACAAAAACTATGTAGAAAAGTTGGGCAAGTGATAAAGTGAGGTAACTATAATGATATAGATGGTAAGTAATATACAAGATATGAAGGCTTTTCAAACTTTATATATAATGACCAATAACTACATTAGTTTTTTTGTACTCAATGGTGCATATACTACCACACTTTAATATAGTCTTGCCCTGGCCTTGCCCTATCCTTGCCCTAGCCTTACCTTAGCCATGCCTTAGCCTTGCTTTAGCATTTCCCTAGCCTTGTCCTAGACTTGTCCTAGCTTTACTTTAGCCTTGCCCTAGCCTTGCCTTTGCCTTGCCCTAGCCTTGCCCTAGCCTTGCCCTAGCCTTGCTTTAGCCTTGCCGTAGCCTTGCCCTAGCTTTGTCCTAGCCTTGTCCTAGCTTTGCCCTAGCCTTGTTCTAGCCTTGCCGTAGCCCTGCTTTAGCCTTGTCCCAGCCTTGCCCTAACCTTACCCTAGCCTTACCCTATCGGTACCCTAGCTTTGCCCTAACCTTACTCTAGCCTTGACTAAGCTTTGCCGTAATCTTGCCTTACCTTATTCTACCTTACTCTGCCCTATTTTATCGTATCCCCTTAGTTACAAATTACCATATCCTATGCCAAACCTTCAACTACTAACCCCATTATTCACTCTTTTCCCTACTGTACATCCTATTACCCACCCCCCCCCACTTTCAACTATGCAACGTTCAAACATCTTTATATGATCCTTTAAGAATCTATTCTTACCCTCACCCTTTGCTATTCCTCTGATTGTATGTAGCGCTACCCATCCTTCACTCTTTCTCCTACCGTACCACCTATAAACCCCCGTTCAATTATGAAACTTTCGAATATCCTTTTAAGATCACAAAAGAAGAGTAACATAAACAATAAATTAGAGATTGTTATTCCATTTCCCTATATGGGGTGTCAATAATTCGGAGAATTGACGAATTGCACTGAAAAGTTTACTAATTTTCTTCCTTTTCATCTCAATTCTCAATTGGAAAAGGGTTCCGTTGCGGTTAGCTGCTATCGTTTACTTAGCTTCATGTGATAACAAAACCATTACTATGGTCGTTACTATAGAGTGGGATCGTGATGTATTGAAGGGGGAGAGATGGAGAAAAGTTGAAATATAAAGTCATCGTTTTGAAAAATACAAAAAATTTCAAAAAATCTAAAGTTTTAAAAAAATATGTACATATAAAATGGCAGTAGTAAAAAATGGCAACTGATAGCCAAGGGTAGAAGAAAAAAAATTTTAAGCAGGTTGAGCTTTCTCAATATTTAATAAAAAAAGAAAAAAATTCTGCTCCCCCCCGCCTTTAAAAAAAATCACCCCACCCAAAATTTTTTTGACTTTAAGATTTATTCGAAGTCCAAAAGGTACCCTCTACGTTATTTCAAATTTACCCTTATTCTTCCTGTTCCGACTCTTCTTACTACCCTTAAAATTTAGGTTTGCCTCCCCTCCCTCTACTGCCTCTTAAGTTTTGCCTTTTCTACCCCCTATCCCTTACTTCCTCCGAAATTCAGCCCACACCCAAGCCCGCCTATCCGCCCGCGAACCCCAACGTTTCTCCCACCACCCCAACACAAATCTGACCCCGCTGACTTTTATTTTTTGCGTTCAGAACAAGCATCAAATTGGTTGGGTATTTATCAATTGGAAAAGTTGATGAATCGCTGTTCCAATAAAACCCAAACCCAAAAAAAACGGCTGTTCCCATTATTCGCGCGGCGTTCGTTTTGCGAACGGACTGGTGATCCTTTGCTTTCAATTAATAATTTCGCCCCGTTTCTGGTGTTAAATGATAACAATTCAGATAGGGGATTTGCACTTTTTTTGTTGCTGGCTTACGGTAGGAAAGGGGGGGGGGTTTGCGGAAGAGCGAGATTCTAGCGACGGGGAAGTGTTGAGAACGATGTGGATGATGTTTTGACAACGTGGAGAAGGAAACAGAATCATATGAACATAAAAACAGGTATAAAGAGTAAATTATGTACTACTAACTTACGCACAAGTACAGTAAGTAACACTTACGTTCAAGTACTAGTAGTACAAGTACTACACAATTAGTATGAGTGAAATTAAACATCAAAAATTACTACTTTAAGTTATATAACTACTGTTAAAAGTAAAAAAGGTATCATTCCAATTAATAACCGCACCGTCCAAAGTAAAAAATTACCATTTTCTCCCATTTTCCACCTCTCAACCCCACTTTTTAAAAGATTTTTGTCATTTTTAAAAAAATACTATGCTTAAAACAACAAGACATAAAAACAAAGTTTAAAAAACGACAAAAACAAACTCAGATTACACTTTTCTAATCACTGACATTCATGGGATTGACAGACTGATAGTGTTTAGGTCTTCATAGCCGAGCGGAACCGAACCCGCTGCCTTTCGCGTGAAAAGAAACACCGTTACCGCTGTGCCACGCAAGTTGTTTTCACCTCTCTCTTGTTTTCAAACCCAATCAAAGGGCAAGTGAAGGGCGCACTGCGCAGAGGTAAAAATGTGGAAAATGGTCAAAATTAATAAAATTTCAAAAATTAAAGAAAAATTTGTTTGTAAAATACGTTCACTCTTAGTTTACCCTTGAATTTGACAAAAAAATTGGGTTTTTTCAACTAAAAACGACCAAAAAATTCAAAAAATCACTAAATTGCCACCTTCTCCCCAGCCCAAGTCCAAAAAACCGAATGTCCATCAGCCAGACGGCCTTCCCGCTTCTAAAACTGACCGATCCCACAAATTTTATCGTCTTTAATCATAGGGTAAACATTGGGAATAATTTTTATTCAAATACTATCAATAAAAGCCCCGGGAGCCTAAAGGTGTTAAGTGTGGAGGTTTTTAGAACCCTCGAGGCCCTCAGGGGTTTTATGAGTCGTAAAACGCGGATTTTTGAAAGCTGCGATCAAGTGACATGCAGATTTGAGATGGTACTATAAAATTTTTGAAAAAAAAATGTTTGGTTTATTTTGGGTAATAAAGAAGCTGAATGGTTGGTGTGGGGGGGAGAGGGGTGTTTAGGGTTAAAAATAGCTTTTTAAGCAAAAATCCAAAAATATGCTTTTAGAAGAAAAATAGAAAGAACTTTCTTTACAGATAAAAAAATGGCAAGAACTTTCTTTACAAAACAAGAAACGGCAAAAACTTTCTTTACAAAATAAAAAAGTTGATTCAACCAACATCCCCAACCCTCCATAGAGTAAAACCCCTAATAACTCTTAAAATCTACAGTACTCTTCAAAAACCAAGAGTAGCCTTCACCCTTCAAAACCAACCTGATCCCCCTAATCCTAAGCTACCATAACCCCGCTACCTTAACATTCATTAGCAATACGTACAATATCACTCGCTTATATAGTTGCAGGACCGCCCAAATCGTGTCCTGCGGGCATTTTTTGGAAAACTTTTCTGGCACGCACCGCCCCCATTAATAACCACAAGAATGGCCCTCGGATTTCGTTGAAACACTCAGCCGAACCAGTAAAAACAGTTACATTTACCGTGTGCAAGTATATTTAGGTACTTGATTTTTTTGGTTTTATAGAGTTTTGTCATTTCTGGTTGCGTTGGAGATGTAAAGCGTACTGTAGTTGTACGAAAAAGTTTAGATAATTTAAAAAAAGTGCGGAATAAAATTGATTTTTTTTTGTTCAACAGGGGGAGTACGGTCAAAAAAGTTAAAATTATCAAAAAATTCCAAAATTTTTTTTTGTGAAATTAAATTTTTTTTTAAAAATAGCTTTTTCGTATATATTACCACTTTTCCTATACTACTTTAAAAATCAAACCCTTATATTTATGAAGTAAAACTCAAAAAAAAGTCACCAATTTTGTTCCACAGGGGGGAGTACGTTCAAGCAAAATTTTCAAAAATTTCAAAAATTTTTTTTTAAAATTAAAATTTTTTAGCGAAGATAGATTTTTTAGGCCTAGTATTACTTTGACAATTGTATTTTAGAGCTAGCCTAGAAAGAAAAAAAGGTTTTTCGTGAAACCAAAAAATTGATACTTTTGATCAACAGGGGAGAGTACGTTCTAAAAACCATTAAAATTTTCAAAAATTAAAAAATTTTTTTTTGCTATTTTAAATTCGAACTATTTTAATCTATATTTGTCAAATTTTTATAACTTTTTGCTTATTTAAGCCCGAACACCCTAAAATACGGCCAAAAACCTCCAAAAACCGGTCAAAAACCCTACAAAATGACCAAAAAACTAAAAAAAAATCGAAAAAACAAAAAAAAATGAGTTTAAATTCAAAAAATCTTTTTCCAAAATGTCAGAATTTCATTGTAAAATGCAAATTTTTTGCACAATTACCTATGTCCACGGAAAATGCTAACTTTCTTTGTCGTAGACATTACGACACATTGTACAGACCACACCATTTTTTTGAGTTATAGTAAAAACTGGAGACGTTTGGGCCGGGTAAAAATAAAAATTCAGGGTTTAAAATTGTGGAATTTGCAGGTTTTTCTATTATAAAATGGCATTAAATTTCTTTACATAAGGAAAAATGGCAAAAACTTTGTTTACAGAGCTTAAAATGACAATAACTTTCTTTAGAAAGTAAAAAATGGCAAGAACTTTCTTTACAGAAAAAATAGCAATAACTTTCTTTACAGACAAATTTTCTCAGGAAACCGCAGAAACTTTCTTTCCACAATAAAAAGTTGCCAAGTCATAATTTTTTCTCTACTATCTCTCATAATACCGTAGGTTTTTCAAACTTCCAATTTCAAATAAAAATTATTTTGCAAATTGCTTTAGTCCAGTCCACTCGGATCGTCTGTCTTCCCCGCCCCATATCCTCTTTTCCAAAATGTCATGATGACAAAAAGGATGACTATTAATAATAGTTGAAAACAAATTCGGCTTCAATTGCACGACGTTTCATGCCAATTAAGTGTCGTCTGGCATTAACCGAAAATGTGTTTACGAAATTCGAACCCGCCAAAACTTTCTTTACAAAGTTTCTTTTTTAAAGCGCGTCGCATTACAGAACTGTAGTGCGGAAAAAGTAATGTTGTAAACATGTAGCGTATGTGCACTAATTGTGACGGAAGTACTACGATTTTGCAGAAGATATATTTTCTTATTTTCTACAAGAACTTTCATTACAAAACAAAAAATAACAAGAACTTTCTTTAGAAAACATAAAATTGCAAGAACTTTCTTTGCAAAATGTAAAACGGCAAAAACTTTCCTTCCAAAAACAAAAATTCATTTTTTATAAAAAGAAACGAAAATATTTAAAACCTTTCGTATAACATGTCTCTCGCAGGCTGCGAATTACAAATTTTCAATTTTTCAAATTTAAAAATAAAAAAAAATTGTAAAATTTTAAAAATTATGAAGATAAATTTTAAAATCTCTACAAAAATTTAAAAATCCCTTTCAATTCCCAATGTCGACAGCCTTAAATAACCATTTTGTAGTTGGCTGTCAAAGCCGACTGACTCTTTAATCTTGTTGAACACAATGTAAATCCTCAAAAAACGAGTGGGATATTTGAATATCCGCGAATTTTAAATATCTTTTTTGATTTTTTACAAAGTTCGAAATCGGTTTAGCAACGGTGAATGCGTTCGAATTGAACTGGACTAGCGAAAGTTGTCATTCACAATATTTTTTTTAATTTTTGAAATTTTGAAATTTAGAAAAGTGGCTTGCAGTTAAACTCTTGTAGAACGAACTTTTGTGAAACGTAATAGTTAGCACTGGAGTTTTGTACTATCAAGTACAACAAAAGGTCTTGCAATGAATGCTTTTTCTAGTACTATAAAGCACCGTATTGTAAGCAAAAATCTTTTTTTTCAATGCTTCACATCTTACTGTAACATCTTTTTTTTAAAAAACTCAAACTTTTAAAACATGAACTACTGTCATAAACATTTCAACTTACTAGTAATTTCTTTAGAGCACAATGTACATGTGTAGCTTTTGAAGTGAGCTTGCATTCGATGACGACTCAACGAGGACGAGTGACAGAACACTTTGTTACATATTGTGCATCTGAATTGACCTGAAAAAGAACACTAATATGCTAAACTACTTTTCGAATGGCCGTATTTTACATCAAAAATATAATAGATGTAAAATTTTTTAGTGTTACGTTTTTTAGGCCTGGTTAACGTATTTCACCTAACTTTATTCTTTTATTTAGAAATACAAAAAGTGAAAGAATTTTTTGATTTTGTGACATTTCGTCAAATACTAAAAAGAGTCATTTTTAGCATGTTATACTTAATTTTTGCTAGTATAATGGTAAACTAGCTAGTTTGTACCATTTCAAAAAATTCAATAAATTTTGTGGCATTTCATTGACATTTCAAAAAAATCAATAAATTTAGTGACATTTCGTCAAAATTAAAAAATATATTTTTTTGATATTTTGAATATTTTTTGTCTATATAATGCTAAAATAGTTACTTTGCGTTATTTCAAAAACCAATAATTTTTGTCACATTTCGTCAAATATTTAAAAATGTTAAAAAAACCATTCAGAGGCTTAAAATACATATATTTAAAATAAATTACCTTTCAAATCTGGCCGTTTCAACTCAGCTCTGTAGCCAGCATTCTTGGTGGGCGTGGTAGATTCGTCCATTTGGCTTTGAGCGACATTTTTAAACAGCTCAGCTGCAAATGAGTTGTCATCGCCCAAAATGCTCTGTAATGCCATTTCGTTGTTGTTGCAATTCTCATCGATTTCCATTTTGCAATCTTCTGATTTGACTTCTGGAGACAAGGATCGTGAATAGGATTCGTTGTCGGTTTGGTCTGTAGCAGTGGATTCTTTGTTGGATTCGCTAAACTTGGCAAAGGCAGCGAACAACTGCTCTGGGCTTTTTAGGTTGAATTGTGCCATTGTTGATAAGTCCATTTATTAGTGAATTCAAGTTTTTAATTTTGGCGGGAAAACTCGAAATTTAAAAGTTGGCGGGAAGGTTCAAATTTGAAATTTGGCGGCAAAACTGGAATTCAAAATTTTGGTAGAAAAACGTGCTGAAGTGTAGTACAAGAGTAGTATATGAAAGGTAGTAAAATAGTGCTTCAAATCCAAATAATATAGTACCAAGTCTAAATAGTACTAGTACTATAAGACTAAATATAACAAGTCGAAGTAGTACCAGTAGACCAAAAAATGTAAAATACTGTAAATTAGTTACTGTAGGAATGTGGACGGCGTTGAGTGCGTTGACAGTGTCTTTTCTTACACGTGTAAATAAATAATGGCCAATAGACGTTAGCCAAGTTTGGTAAAGCCTGCAAATTTTTTTAAGGTAAAATACGGTCAAAGTGTTTTCTAATTACAATTTTAAACACGGTAATGCATACACGTTCAGAATAATACGTTATTAAAAAATTTTAAAAAAAATAAAAAAAGATTTTTAAAACCACCCCTTCTTAAAAAATAAAAAATCACCCCTCCCTACCAAAAAAATTGAAAAAATCATCCTTCTTTGCCAAAAAAAATATAAAATATCGCCCTTCACCTTTTTGCCCTCCCCCCCCTTCAATTTTAAAACTAGGCAAAATAAAACGAAAAATCAATGCCTAAACTTCAAAAAAATCAAGAACAATGATGCCAAGACCTGCCGAAACCCCAAGCTTTACGTTGTAATCCAATCGCAAAACTTTTTGTGGCCCAAAATTGAAAAAAACGGCGGCCAAGCGTTGCCAGGCTTATTTCCGCACTTAAACCCGGCTGATTGCCGTTCCCCGTTTTTTCTCGGATTAAACAAAAAAAAGTTTATTGTGGTTGATCGCGCCTCCCCTTGGCTTTGTCTATTTGGACCCCATGGCTTTTTAACTTGTGCCTCCCCGCTTCTAACAAATTAATATTATCTACCCCTTTTGAGTTAAATGTGATGGATAGTTACCGTACCTTTTTTTAAAATAGGTTTTGCCCTGCCCTGCCCTGCCTTGCCCTCCCCACCCCTGCCCTGCCCTGCCCGTTTCTTTCCTTGCCCTAACATGACTCGCCTTGAGCGGACCTGCCAAGCCCTGCCAAGCCTTGACAACTGCTGCCAAATCCTGCCCTGATGACAAAATGCAAACATTAGCATTCTTTACCCTGCCCTAACACAACTTTTTACTATTCCACACTATTTTGCCTTACCTTACTATATCGTACCCTTCTATGTCACATCCTGATACCTTTACATACTCACACCCTACCCTTATAACCTCATCATAACTTACCGTGCCTCTCCCAAACCACCTTTTCTTAACCTTTATCCCTCTCCCTCTCCCCCCCCCCATTCGGCCGGCCGTCCGGAAACCTCGAAACGGCCAAAGAAAGGTCGTTTCTTGTTCCAAATCGAGCGCTCCGACCTGATCTACCCTCAATCACTCGGTCCACCCTCATTCACCCCATCCACCCTCACTTCGGGATTAACGTTCGACCCCTCTAATATATTGTGAGGCTTTTCGAGAGATGGGGCTAACGCTGATCGGACATTCGAGAGGAACGTTGGTTCCGAAATGAATTTATGCAAAAACTAATACAATCGGTTGTTGCCTGCCTAAACTTTAAACTAGAAGTTAAATTTTTGAAAGAAAAGGTTTTGCTAACTTAAAAAATTTAATTTGCAAATTTTCAAAATTTAAACAAAAATTTAAAATTTCTAAAAATAGGTATAGAAAGCCAAAAAACCAAAAAAATGCAAAAAATTCAATTTAAACCCCTAAAATAAATAAAAAAAAGTTGAAAAATACAAGATTTTCAGTTTACATTTTGACTGTCTATGCTATGTAGAGCTAGCAACTCAAATTTTATAAAGTTTTATAATATACTGTAAAAGATATAGCAATTTTAAAGTATTTTCAGTCCCAAAAAAATCTCTGAAAAATAAAAAATTTTTAAAAATTAAAAAATTTTTTGCCTTAGGCAAGAAAAGTTTTTTAGTTGTTTATTAACTTCTGTTAATTAACTTGAACTTTTGATTAATTTAAGGTAATATTTACATTCTTAAAAAGTCTTGTCGTCTTTAACCTTGTAAACTTATTTAAATTGACGACAAGATTTTTTTACCCTAAAATTTTGTAAACTGGAAAATTTTAAACTTCAAAACAATTCAAAACTTGAGTTTTTTAAAAATCAATCTAAAACTACAAGCTTCACAATAAAAAAGCAGAAGCTTCCACCCTCTACTACAACATTATAATACGATGAGATAATCGTAAAAGCCGTGTGGGTGTAAATCATCTAAATCTCATAAAGAATCAGATTTTAACTGATCATTTCATTTTAATCATGAAACTTGCCTACAGAATATGGTAAGCTCAAAAAATGCACAGAAAGTCTTGGCGTCAACTACTTAGGTTTTGATGTTTGAAAACGACAAGACTTTTTTAACTGGTGAACATAAGCCTAAATTAGCCAAAAAATTAACTAATTAAGAAATATTAATAACAAAACTAAAAAATTTTCTTTCCTTGCCTAAGGAACCAGATTTTTTAATATTTCAAAATTTTAAACTTTTCAAAATTTCGAAATTTCAAAACATCTTAAAAATTAAAAAAAAGATTAAAAAACCTTTTAAAAACTTGCAAAACCTAAGCCTATTAGACAAACACATGTCTATTGTAACCTTCATGTTAAGCCTTGAGCAAAAATCAATTAGAAACCGAAAGGTTGTTGCAAATTGTGTTAAAGTAGCTCTAAAAGCCATTTTAATGCTTTAAGCGAGAAAAAGCGAGAAAAAATTGAAACAGTCGAAACCAAAAACAGTGTCCATTAAACAAGCCCTAGCCTCTGATAAATAAACACTTTTTATCACAAATTGTTAAGAATATTTTGAGCTGTTATAGCAATAGCAATAGCTATGGCTATGGATATTAGGTATACAAAAACAAAGGTGACTAAAAATACATATTTTTGTGTTGTAAAGAAAGTTTTTGCAATTTTTAATTTGTCAAGAAAGTTCTTGCCATTTTTTGTTTTGTAAAGAAAGTTCTTGCCATTTTTTGTTTTGTAAAGAAAGTTTTTGCCAATTTTTGTTTTGTAAACAAAGTTTTTGCCATTTTTGTTTTGTAAAGAGAAAGCTCTTGCCATTTTTAATTAAAATATGTTTTTCACATAAAAATTACAGTAACCTCCCGCCTCACTTAACATACCAATTATTACTTTATCTTTTACTTACCTCGCCCATAAGAATTATTCTTTACCTTATCTTACTCAACAGTGACTATTCACTCTTTTATCTTACTCCCACCCCTTACCCTTCTTTCTTCATCCACCCCCCCCCCAACACAACCACGAAAAATTATTACCGTACTCTTCGCCGCACACATTCCAGAATCCTTCCGCAAAAATTACAAATGTAAACCAAAAAAGCCATAACGCATTAAAACAGTCATATCAAAATTCAAACGAGCCCCACGGTGTTGAAGGGACCCATTAAAAGCCCCACTTAATGAAGAAGATACGCCATTCACGGCTGTCATTATAACGTTAATAAACCGTATTTATAAATCGCGGCCTAATTTATGCGACTTTAATGCTTTTGTATGTGTGATAGGCTTGTCGAATGCAATATAAAACACGGTCGTAAACTGGGGGGTGCACAGGTTACTTATGCTAATTTGCAAGGCTTGCAGACGTTGTTGGTCAAAGGCTATTTTTAGTACGAAACGGCTAAAGCACGTTAGCTAAAGGGGTGTTTTTTAAAATTTTGAAATTTTGAAAAAATAATGAAAAAAAAACATATGATGAAGAAAAGCAAGTAGAAAAAAAATGCCAAAAAATAAAATTTTTAAAGTAAAAATGGTAGGTACGGTAGATCCTATCACACTCTCCCTTACCCTAGTCTTAGGCTAGACAAGTAAGGCAGAGTACAATAAGATAAAATAAAGCAAGGTAGAATAGAATAAAACAGGGTAGAGCAGGGTAAGGTGGGGTAGGAGAAAGAAAAGTAGTATAAAGTAAAGCACGTTAGAGTAGGGTAGGGTAAAATAATGCAAGATAAAGTACGGTACGGTAAAAATTTTTTTTCAAAAAAATTTTTTGAGACTTTCCCTCACGACCTCTCTAACGTCGCCTGGCCTTGTCCCTACCCTTTGGACCCCCCTAAAATCTCTTTTTTTTGTAAAGAAAACTAGGCTTTGACTTTAACTTTGATTGCTATTTTGTTTCAATGAATTTATATCATAAACCTTACAAATCATATGGCTCAATACATAAATATCGTCCCCAGTGTTTTGCCCGGTCCGGTCCGGCGATTTTTTGGGTCCGGTCCGGTCCAAACTTCGAATGTTTGGGTCCGGTCCGGACCGGTCCAAACCCAAAATTTTTGGGTCCGGTCCGGCCGGTCCGCAAAAAAAAATTTTTTAATTTTTAAAAAAAGCAAGGATCGCTAAAACTGCTTTCTTTTTGCTTAAAAACTCCTAAAAATATGTTTTATTTGCAATTTTTAAAACAGTTTTTTTAAAATAAAAAAAAAAATTTCTTTCTGACCGGACCGGACCGGCAAAACACTGATCGTCCCTATACTCTTAACTTACCCCCACCCCTTTTTTCTTTTTATGTACTCCAATTTATTTACTCTGACTATACTCCCTTCCCCTATGTCGCTACTTGTTGTTCCCTCTAGTCTTGCCTTAGCTCCCTATGCTCCTTTTTAACCAGTGCCATTCTTCATAGCTCTCACCCTTACCCTTGCCCTAAATTGTACAAAAAAAAGAGTAGGACATTAGTAAGGACGAGTAACTGTATCTACCGCTCGTCCCCACTTTTACCCGGCCTTGCTTCTTCATTAAAATTTTTTATTTCCCCGCCCTACCCCAACGTACAATTATACCCCTCCCCCTCCCTTTTATACCTACAAAACCCCTTTTTCCCTGTCACCTTCTCCCTGCCCCCTCTCACCCCCCCCCCTC